TTTTTTTTTTTTTTCTTTAATTTACCTTTATTTTTTCTTTTTTGTTTTGAAGGGAGGAATGGAAAAAGAATTCATTTGTTTTTTCTTTGATTTTTTGGATGTTTTGGTGCTGTTTCTTTCCAAAGTATGTTCTTTTATTGGCATCGCTTGTAGAGTTAAAACTGCGTCTTCCCCACTACTCTTGCTGGTATCATTGTTTTTAAAGAGTACAGTTGTCTGCTCGTAAGTATATCTGGGGTTGTCGCTGTTAGCACGTGGGCGATGCATAGGTCGATTCCGAAAGCTCTGGGGTATTTTTTGTTAGAAACGTCATTTTTCTTTTTTGGCTCTTTTCATTTTCCGTGGTTCTAGCTTTCATATTGTGAAAGATATTATAACGTGTAAGATTCGCACTGAAACGTGGCTGTCAGCCTCTTCACTGCTCTCGTAAAGTGTTGTTGGTTGCGCTGAAGAATTTAGTGTTTATTTTTCTTGGGAAGAAATGCTGTTGAATACATGTTGGTAGTGTTCTTAAATTTGGTTATAAGTTTGACACTGATTTAAAATGGCTTTTATTGTGGAGGATATTTGCCTTTGTGCATTCCTCGCGGTCATTGTCCTTACTCACAGACCAGCGAATTCTTCTGGTGAATTTACAACATTTTCTTTCTGCTTCTAGGATTGGTATTTCAGAGCATTTTGGGAGGCGTTGCTGATTCCTTGCTTCTCTAGCGGTGCTAACTTAAACACGTAACTTTTATTTTTAACAACGAGGACTTATTTTCCCAGTATCAAAGAGTCAAGGTCGTATTTCAATTTAGGGGTTTTTATAGTGTTGGTTTTGGTTAACAATGTAGATTTTTGAAAAATTTTGCTTGTCATTATTTTAGCTTCCAATGTACCGTTGGAAGTGTTTTTTTTTTTTCTAAGGATAGGCAGGACGGTTTAGTCAAAATGTGTGCAAATTTGTCAAGTATATAAGTAGTTCAAAACTGTTTCTTGGAGATACTGGTCTAAAATTAATAGTTCGATTCATTGTTTTCTAACGTCTTTCTGGTGTTTCAAACAGTTGTTAGCCTCGACATTAATCACTTACTCCTTTTTGTTCTTGTCTGTGAGGCTGAAACTATCTTTTTAGTAGTTGTGTTTTCTACTGTTCCAGTTTTCTGTCAAAGCTGTCGAGTTATTCTGCCTTTCAAATTTTCTCTGAAGATTCAGTGTTTTGTTTAAGGTTGTTTCTCCTTTTTTATTTAATGTTATTTCCTGCTAAAGAACTATTAATTTTAAATTTCGATCCTTAATCGTTTTAACTGAACCGTTTTGACAGTTGTCTGAGCAAAATGAATCCAAATCAAACGGTGAACGAACTGCTTTCAATCTCAGTCAAGTGAAAACAGTGAGACAATGAAACAAACAGTGAAGCTTATTTCAATGAATGGCGTTCAGTTGAAAATTCGAATATCAGCACAGCCCAACAATCAGTGTCTCAAACAAACACAGTTCAACTTGTTCGTACAAATCAGTTCAGCCACGGACGATCTTTTCTATGTGGTATAGTAAAACCAATCTTAGAATCTTGGCCGAAAGCAAAATTTCGCGTCGATTTTTATCTCTCTGTGTACATGAATTTATGGCTAAGTGGTTTACTGGTTTTATTACAAATTGCAAGCGAGTCAGTCGAAGTTGGTTGCAAATTTTTGTGATTTTTAAATAAGGGATGGTTGAGTGCAATCTCTAATCAAAAAGTTTCATGAGCAAATTTTAAAGCGAGAAACTTATGACAAGAGGCATATGACAAGAACGCCAACCGTAACAAGCTGCATATCGAGTTTACTGTTCGCTTCTTTTTCTTTTTTTAAAACTTTGTTTTCGAGTGCTTAATCATACGGAATACAGACAGGTTGTTTTTTGATCATTTTTACATTACGTGATTTCCTTTCTCGTTATAATTTTTTAAGTTTCAGCCGTTCTCCTTCTGACTCACCCCCACCTCGTCGTCGTTACTCACGCTCTCCTCGCAGATCTCGCTATTCGCCAGCTCGACGTACTCGGTATAATGACGGCAGGGACAACCCTGAGCCGTGTGCTTGTTTAGGAGTTTTTGGTATGTCGCTTAGTACAACAGAACGCGACCTCAAACGTATTTTTGGCGACTATGGCGAAATAGAAACAGTTCAGCTTGTCTATGACCGTTACAGCGGACGCTCCCGCGGTTTCGGGTTCGTTTACTTTCAGACTACGAAGGAAGCTATCAGGGTTTGTTTTTTTTTTATTTTTTTATTTTGGTAACTGATGTCTCATTTAAAAAAAAAATTAGGGGGAGTGGTATGATAGGCCTTAGTGAGCACGCGCGGTTGGATGTTGTTATGGCAGTGTAGGATTAGAGAGGGAAGACAGGGAGAATTTCTTTGCCAGAGTCAGAGAAAGTCCAGGTCAAAAGCGACGCGAGTGAGGAAATCATCTATTAAAGTGCATTATGGAGTGGAAAAGTTCACCGGCTGGCTTGGGAGCGGCCCAGGACAAAATCAGTGCTTGAATTATGGGAATTCTCTCCTCTGCGATTTAATACGTGTCATTTATGTTCTTTTGGAGACCTGAACAAGAGCGGGTGTCATTATTTCTTAGATTTAAACTTCCCTTCGAGCGTCTGAACTTTGAGTTTTTGAAGTCAAATACTTTAACACCTAGCAGAGCGCAGAAATTGTATCCCTTTCGTTTAACAGGGACTAAGATTTTTTTGTGACCGTCCTAAAAAAAATTACACAGCTTTTTTTTTTTTTTTTTGCAGGCAAAAGAGAATCTGCGTGATGCAGTGATTGATGGCATGCGTGTTCGTGTTGACTTTTCAGTGACTAAAGGGGCTCCAACATAGTATGTTGTTTTTGTTATTATCTCATTGTTGTCATTTTTTTTTTTTTTTTTCTGTTCTTTGCATGGCTTTGGTAAGTCTTATGTGGTAGGGAGTTTTAGATTTTTCAATTTTCAGTGGACGGCCTCGTCGTTCACGCAGTAGAAGTGCAGACAGTTATTACCGTTCTCGATCCTGATCGTCCTTTGCTGATATTTTTACAGAAAGTATTAATACCGTCAAACTTCATATTTTCACTTTGTTCCAAGTTACTAAGTGTTGCATCATATTCTTGTGGCTAATTGTTGTTTCAGTTTGTTTATTGTTGTCGTTTAACCGGATTTTGTGTTCTTAGTGGCATTTTAACAAGGAATTGTGCATTTTTATTGCTTTTATGCTTTAAGTTTATCCGTGTAGTAGAAATTTTTGTGGATAAATAGTTTTGCTGCGGTTTTTTTTCATTTGAAGTATAAAAAATTTGGTTGAAAACATTTGTTTCAATTTTCTACACCTATTATTCACAATACCCTTCTTGCCTAGTTACGTCATTTAGTTGTGTTGTGGCGTCAAATGTTGTGAGGTGGTGGTGTGGTTTCGGGGTTTGGTGGAAGCTGGAAGTAGCTGGGTACTTTTAGTGGTTTTCCAGTGGTAAAGTCAGTTTGATGACTGCACTTCTGTGTTCAAATGATGGCTGATTTTTTAGCTAGTGGTTTCGTCCACCGTTGCTGCCTGCGGCGATTTCGCTTGTCAAAGGATTTGAGAGGGGGCAGATGACTTGAGTATTCTACAGTTGTAACGCTTGAAGTTGTTTTGCTTGATCCACG